AGGCTTTCCAGGCCATCTGGTCTCTGCTACAACTACTCATCTCTGCTGTCAGGCTGCAAAAGCCATGTGGACAATGCATAAATGAACAAGCGTGGCTGTGTTCACATAGAACTTTATGCTAAAAGACAATGAACTTTGAATCTCATATAATTTCTATGTGCCACAAAATATTCTATTTCTTTTGATTTTTTTTCCCAACCATTTTAAATTTGTAACTCATTCTTAGCTCACAGGCTGTAGAAAACCATGTAGTGGGCTGGATTTGGACCACAGGTCAGCCTGCCAACCCGATACAGATTTTTAAAATGCTGTTCATTAAGAATGTTTTCTGTCCAAATTGTAAAATATTTCTTCATAAATATTACCTTATTAAGTATACATTAATTATCAAAATTATTACACTACAAATGCCTGTACAATTAAAATGATATAAACATAATTAATCGCTGGGCACAGTGGCTCACCCCTGCAATCCCAGCACTTTGGGAGGTTGAGGCGGGAGGATCACTTGAGATTAGGAGTTTGAAACCAGCCTAAGCAAGAGTGAGACCCTGTCACTACATAAATAGAAAATTAACCAGGAGTGGTGATGCGTGCCTGTAGTCTCAGCGACTTAGGAGGCTGAGGCAGAAGAATCGCTTGAGCCCAGGAGTTTGAGGCTGCAGTGAGCTATGATACCACTGCACTCTCGCCCAGGGTACAGAGCGAGACACTGTCTCAAAAAAAAGTTAAGGAAAAAAACACAGAGAAAGGAAAAAGAAAAAAAAATTGTGGGCCACTGACTACACAGAGTTACAAAAAGATTAAATGATAAATTTATTATCATAGCATCCATCATCCAGATTGATAACATAGTGGCATTCAACAAATCTTGGTTCTTCCCTGCCCCAACTTCTGTAATACTTAATACTTGCTGAGCAATGCCCACTGAATCTCTCCTGTACTTCAAGAACTGTGGTTCCTTTCACTATTGTTCAGTCCATTCCCATGGCGTTTCTCAGCTCTTCACCCCCTTTCTCCCCAAAAAGGAACCAGCTCCTGCTTACTTTTTATCTCACTCCACGCTTTCCCCATTGGTAATCTCATTCACTCCCACTGGTGATGGGATAATCTCTGTTTACATATCTCAAAACTTTCTATCTGCACACCTGCTTATCTCGAGACCACATTTCCACTGTGTACCAGACAGGGCTCCCAAGTGCAAGTATGTGGGTCAGTTCAGGGCTCGCTACGTGAGAATCCCTTGAGAAGCATATTAAGATACACACTTGTGAGCCTGCTCCACAGAAACTCTTGAGTCAGTACACCTGGTATGAGGTCAAGGAATCTGTACTTTAAAAGTTGCCCAGGTGACTCTGATGGGCAGCCAGGTGAGACCCTCTGCTGGACACTGCCACTGTGCCATCACCTCCTAATACTCAAATGTTAGAAAAAGAATAATCTTTCTTCCAGATATGCTCCCTTGCTTGTGCTCCCATCTCATCTCGGAATATCAATCGGTTCCTAGTCATTTTAGTTCAAAACTCATCTAGCCTTTACACAGCAGATAAACCCGCCTTCTGGAAAACACAGTGTGGACATGTCCTCTCTGACCACAAACGGAGTCCAGAGGAGCCGGCACATCATGCCTAGACCTCTCCCAGCTGCCACTCTCTGCCTCCCAGACAGCCTCCCCAGAGCCACTGCAGCACAAGAACATGACGGTCCTCCCCATCCCCAAACAAGCCCTACATGCCCATTCTTTCTGCTAGTCTGACACTGTTCTCTCATGTGGATCACCTCAGACCCCAACTCCATTTGACCAAATCTCACTCAGCACTCCACGCACGATGCAAATCAGTCTTCCTGACACTATCCTCTGGGTGCTCCGGGTGAAACCACCCAACGTGTTGCTGCAGTACTGTTTGTACATACATGATAGGACTCCTCATGCTGTGCCTTCTATCCTTCTATCGAAATTAACTGTGTATGTCTGTCCTCAGTGTACACTGCTTGAGCGTAGGAACTGTTCTCATTCTTATCTCATACCTTGAAATTTTTCATAGATTTGCCTTGAACGTATTATTAAATTCTGAAATCTATCATGTAATTTGCTGAACAGCATACACTACAGAATATACCAAAACCCATGGCTTCATGAGCCAACCATGTACCATCAGGCAACTCCTGCCTTCTCCAAATCCCTATCCTTAATTTCCACACACTATTACTAACCACATAAAAGAGCACACTAAAATAGCATTTTGCCTGCCACCTACCTGTATATTGTTACCAGTTTCTACTAATAGCTGGGTAGGCTGAGGACTGACTGAGTCACTAAGAGTGCCATTTTCTGAATCATCCACACCACTTCCTGCTCTTAATTCTTCCAAGTAAGTAAAATGTCCAAGAATTGTCCTGACCAAGCCAAACTCTATCTTAAGAAATAAAATAAACCTAAAAACCAAAAAAGTATAGCCTAGATTTGTCTCACTGAATGGTCATTCACTATAGAATGCATGCATACCTGAGTTGGGGTACAGACAAACATCATTAAGGTCATGCTCTGGCTCCAGAGAAGTAAATATTTTCCCCTAAAATAGCAAGCAAAAATGAATTATTAAAATAGTTAAAGCACAACAACTTTTGGCAATGTCACATAAAGAAAACAAACTGGAAAGAACTCAATCACCGACTGCTACGTAAAGAAATAGAACAACCCGGCGGGGCGTGGCAGCTCACTCCTGTAATCCTAGCTCTCTAGGGGACCAAGGCGGGAGGATCACTTGAGCTCAGGAGTTTGAGACCAGCCTGAGCAACAGTGAGACCCTGTCTCTATCAAAGAGAAAAGAAAAAGAAAAAGAAAAAAAATACACAAAACAACAAAACCCAGCTGGGTGTTGCGGCATGTGCCTATAGTCCCAGCTACCAGGGAGGCTGAGGCAGAAGGATCACTCACGCT